GTCAAGCTAGTTTACAGAAAGAGAAATACATTGTATAATAACATGAGACTTACGAACACATAGTAGAGTATTTAAGCAGCCCGAAGACTATAGATAAGGCAAGAATCGTTCACCTAAATATTACACTGTCACAGCGATTTTCAGATCATGAAACTTTCCCTACCATAGACTTATCTTTTGATACAGGAAAATAAAGAACAAGCTAGCAACAATCCTCATTTCTACATGCACATGAACACTTAGAGAGTGCATTTCATCTAATATATTAGACATCAAATGACTGAATAATGGCACAATAATGAGAATGTCATTTGAAGCTTTTCATGATAATTTAAAAATCATTCTGAAGTTTTCAATAATGTAAGAAAGCCTCTGCTATTAGGTCAAGGGCAACATTTGTTCACATTACTTAAAGGTCATTAAAATACATCCTTAATCATAACATGTGGTTCATTACAAATAAAATTGCCTTTCATTCAATAAAACTAATTAAATGTAAATGGTATTGTTTACTGCTATGTGGATCTTTTGAAATAAATCAGCAAGTCATGATTTATTGAAAATTACTTGGGCCTCATGGTTAATAAATTTGCTTGATCACAAAGCCGGAAACCTATTTCTCCAATGTCTATGGTGCCTGAAAACTGATCCCTCCATGCAGCAACAAGAAACAAGAAACAGCATCCACATTGCAGGACCTGCAGCACAGCTATTATCACTCATTCCTCTGAAATTTCAAGCATCTGACCATATTAAACAACTGAGAACGCAGTGAACAGCAGAAGTTACTCTGAAGTGCTGTCCTGAGTTCTTCAGGAAACATTCTAATAGATCCAAGGATACTTACTCGGGCATGTCATGATGGCATCATCAGAAGTGACACAAATAGCAGTATGACACAAAATATCACCAATCCCATCACAATAGAAACACAGGAATTCAAATAGGAGTGGCAATTATGGCCAGCATAAGCTAAGAAATGCTAAGCAAGGGGCTGGGGATTTAGCTCAGTGGCAAAAGCGCCTGCCTGGCAAGCGCAAGGTTGTGAGTTCGGTTCCCGGTACCGGAGAAAAACCAAAAGAAAAAAAAACAAAAACAAAAACAAGAAATGCTAAGCAAAATTCCATTGCCTGTGTCCACAATAAATTCAGAATTTTCTTTTCTATGAAAAAATCTATTTTTCATTAAATCTATATTTAGTGGGTTTAATTTTACAACAGTAAAAATTTAAATTGATTACTAAATCAGAAATTCAGTTAAGCTTTATTCATTCAAATGCTTAATTATATTCCTTATCAAAGTATACCAGCCATAAAAATTTTAAAGGAGCATTATAAGAAATGTATAGCTAAGTATTCTGAAATATATATTTATATATATGTATGTGCTATTAACAAAAATGAAGATAATATCCTTATAATACTGAATAAAATAAAATGTAACTTCCTGTGATTACAGCAGAGTACACAAAGTTATAGATAGTTTATTAGAATTTTAACTATTTTAATAATGTATAATTTATATGAAATAAACTGCACATAAAGTATAAAATTTTGTTTTGATATATATGTCTATTACCATCACCACAGGTATCAAATATTTCACCACCTCTAAAAATATCCCTGACTGCCTTGCAGTATCCACCCCAACTTCTAGTCTATAGAATTTCCTATAAGTGGAATCACACACCACAGACATGTTTGTCTATCCTTCCCTTTTCACTCAGGCAAATTCTAATATAGTGTTTCAATTCTATACTTTTCTACTATTCTTGGCAAAATTATATCTATCATAAAATTATCATTTACTGTGGTCATTCCCAAGCTGCTTACCAAGAGTATACCCCAAGATTACTGGAAGGATTTGCAGGAGCAATGAATAGAAGATGGAGTTATCACCCAAGTAAGATACCACATAAAATCCTTTTCAGTTCTCAGGAAACATTCTAATGGATCCAAGGATACTGACTCTTCATCAGTCAGTCTTTCAGTCTCTCAGTCTCTTTGTCTCTCACATTGTCTTTCTCTTTCCCCTCTCTGTCCTTGCTTCCCTCCCTTCCTTTAAAGTGGAGAGTTTACCTGAGAATGTATACCAGCAAAGGAAATGAAGCATACAAGAAGAAAGATGTAACGCAGAAAAAGTAGCACTACCCAACAATCAGTGCAATTTACATTACAAAGTCAACAGGCCATGAGATTCTCTGATAAAATTTTCTTTACCAAACAGCATGAGAATAATGAGCTAGATGCCCTAAGTCTAAGATAATGACATAGCTTTATTTTGCAACATGAAAAAATAGAAACCATTGGGAAATATGACAATGGTGGGAAAGAGCTGAGACAGGAAACAATGGAATAAAGGATACTCGGGCCAGAGCAAAGCATTGACTATGCACAGATGAAAGTCCAGTAAAAGAGGAGCTGCTTAACCAGCACACTGAATCACTCAACTGACTATACAGACAAGTGGAGCAATGGAACTTCCTTCTACATCTGTAGAACTTAAGGGAATATTTCAATACTTGTAATACCATAAATGCTAATGACCAGCCTTTCACTCTTAGACTCCACCTACTGACAGACACTTAAAGTGGTTAAAAAGATAGATGAATGAATACTGATGGGAGGATGCCCTCTGGGAACAACATGAAACCTACAAACATATAGCAAAATACTAATACTGACCCAAATAAAATTTAACACATTAATATGGCAAAAGATATGATGAAGATAGCAGTTAAGAAACAGACTGAGAAAATGTATTTGTAATATGCACTGGGCCAAAGTATGAGGAAATAGGCACACTCACTATCATACTAAATATTGAGAGTTTAAAATTATATAATCATGTGATGGAAATTTTTAATTTGTGAAAAAATACTAAGTATTCAGTGAATAGTACTAATGCAACTAATCAGGGATCTTTCTCTGCCCTCCTCCCTTTTGATTTGATTTCTCACTAATAGTTTGACCCAAAATAAGTACTAGACAGATTAGAAATCTTATATGAAAACAAGTTACTTAAAACATAACCATCTAAATATAATCATGAGTGGAACTACTATTATAGTCTCAGCATAAAACCAAAGGTGTAACCACTTTAAAAATCATTTTAAAACACAGGTTAAGTCATACTGTATAAAGATGTCAAAGTTTCATAAAACTTATTAATAAAATTTATATAAAACTTTCAAATAATACATGAAAATGACATAAACATATTGTTGAATAAATAGCCTACTGTGAAAACTGTACGCATAGCACCATTCCACTATCCAAGTGTGTGGTAAGAGAGTAAAGAAAGGGTGCTGCCAGGAGCAGTGTACAGCAAATATGATGGCAGCCAATGTCTTCCACTTTATGATTTATATATTTTTTTCAAACTACATGTTACTATTAGGGTCAGGTAAAATATAAGCCTTTCTCTCCTTTTTGAAAGAATGTATCCTGAGAGACAGCTGAGAAGCTCTAACAGCAGGAAGAGGGTAGGTACCAAGCCGCTTTCATTAGTGTCTTCGCCTGGTGAACACTGCTAACAGAAAGGCAGCCTCATAAAACCTTGTTCTTTACCCACCTAATCTGACATTGTGTGACTTCTGGCTCTTTATCAAAGTTAAATGTTTTAAATCCATTCAAGACATCCAGGCAGCTATGAAGCACAACTACAGACATGAACAAGAACTTCCAGAATTGCTTCAGAAAGTGGTAAGAATCTTGGGATTTCTTCAACACAAGGGGAGTATTTTGAAGAACACTAGTGACAATGTGTCTTTTACTGTAACCATTTTTTAAAATTTAAACATTCACCAAACCTTTTGCCCATGCTTTGTATTCTCAATTTTAAAAAAGGAGAGAGGATTACAGTGACAATGTGACAACACATTATCATATAATGATAAATAAACAGACAAGAAAGGAATAAGAAACTCTCATCTGGGTCTCACTGGTTTTGGAAAATACACAAAATACATAAAGAATTAAGTTTAATCTAGGTATCCAAAATATAGGCAAAAGCAAAGTACTTGAATAGCAAAGTACCTCTCAGCCCTATGTATGTCAACACATTTTCCAGGAAATTTGCATAAAGAAGATCAAGAAGGTTCCTGTTTCCATGGTAATTATAAACTACATGCAAGTCATGCCGCTGTACCAACCCTAACACAACTAGGTTAAGGAAAGGGACTGAATCTACAGTATCAAAATTCCCTTCTCTCAGCCAACTGCTTGGGTCGAAGGTCACCGTGAAATGATCTCAATCTTTCTCTACTCTCCAGAGACTATTAGGAAATCCTGTAGGACAATACTACGGAACTATACAGAACAGAACAATACTATACTACAGAACAATACTACATATGAACACAAAATACAAAATGTGTGTTAGTTTGGGATATTTTTACATTTGCAAGAGAAACTTTGAGATCACTGGAAATAGAATGAACCATGGTCTTGTTCTCTCTAATCCACAATGCACCTTTCCAAAGTACAAATGAACACTCAGTAAAGTTCAAGCCAGACTCCTACCACTGATTCAAGAGGCACAGTGGCACTTGCTTCCTCTGATCACAGAAGTTCGCTATGGTTGAGAAAAAGCCACAGGTAATAGGCTTACTTCAAAGGCAAGGCTAAATCAGTGTCTAAATTCCAGTCTCCAAAGCAATACTTGACTAATTATTTGGGAGTAAATCAGTCAGCAACATCAAGTCCTCAACATCAACATTATTTAACTGAGAAAGTAAAATAACAAAAGAAAAAGAAAAAGGGACAGAAAATTTTAAGTGTCAAACAATAGGAATATTCAAATGACTTAAAGGAAGTTATACACTAAGAAACCACAAAAATTATTTTGTCATCATTTTTAATGACTCTTCACTAGGAACAAGGAAATGATAAAATAAATTCTCAACACACTAATTAAGTTAGCTGGTAAAAACAGAAATGCCCTCCTCCCTTGACCTGACCTCTAAAATAAAAGGATTCTATAGTCTCCATGGCGCTCACCCCTAGAGCTGGTAGCCGCTGCGTGCAGCTCACTGCCACCTTTAACTTCCAGTCAGTCTCACCATCAAGCTGGTCTGTTCGAATAAAGCATGAACCTAGAAGGTAGAGTAGAAAAGATCATCACTGTTGAAATACATTACAGAAGATTACTCCTAATCTATGGGTGCAAAGCACACATCAGCATACAACAGGACCCAAAATTGATATATCTAGATAGTCCTGAGAACAAAAAAACTTTAGAAGCCTTATTTCAGATGATAGTATTTGACTCAAAGAACAAGTCTGTAGAAAGATACGGTCATTAAACCTTTTAATCACTCCTTTTCTATTTGATGTTCTTGCTTATTAAGCTTAATATTAACTATGATGTTTTAGAAAGACTAAATTGATCGTATCTTTAATCTACATATATTTTGATAATGAAATAAGATATACACAAAATATCAAACTGTATATATATTATCTAGCTAATAAAATGTTACATTTACTACCATAAAATATATGTTCAGTGATAGAATCCTAGTTAAAATGCTAGTACCTGAGTAAGTGCTATTAGATACTCAGAACCATACCAAACTTTAAATATGGAAAAATGTCAAATTTAAAACTGTATTCACTCTCAGACGATGCTATAACATCCCACTTCTCAGATGCTTCCTTACAAATAGAACAGCAAAAACATAAGATGACATACACACATACACATTGACTGCAACACTTTTTTACAGTAATAAAAGGTCAGAGATAATTAGAGAGCTAGCAGAAACAGAACATACAGAGAAATTTTAAAAGGAAAAAACAAAAACATCAACATACTACTAAAGACAGACCTTTAGGACACATTGTTAAATGAAGAAATGTGCAGAACATTACATCCAGAATAACATAGTTAAGGAAAAAAATGTATGTGTGTGGCTATCTGCTTGTATATGTATAGCAACTACCTGTGTACATATCTGTGTGTACATGTGCATCTGTGTGCATATATATGTGTCTATATGCACACAGATTTGTTTATGTGCATGTATTTCTGTGTGCATGGTTGCATGTTTAGAGAAATGTGCCCACACATGTATCTGTGTATCTCTGTGCTTTCTGTGTGCACAACTGTGTATGCCCATATCTTTGTGTTTATATAAATATGCCTGCACACAAGCCTACCTGTATGTGCATGCATATGTGAATCATACCTATACAGAGAAAAGGGATAGATTAGGCAGAACTTTCTGATTATGTCTCATTTTATACTATTCACTTGGAAATCAGGTACATAACTGAAGAAACAGGTTAGATCAAACATTTTTCTTTTAGTATTAGGGATTAAACCTAGGGCTTCAGGCAAACTATCAAGTGCTTTCCCACTGAACTATGTCCTTAGCCTTTTAAAATGGTATTTTCAGTCAGTCTCACTAAGTTGCCCAGACAGGACTCAAACTTGTAATCCCCCTGCCTCAACCTCAGCATACCCAACTTTTAAAAAGCAATACCTAAAAAATAAAAACGTATAAGACATAACAAATTCATAGCTTAATCACAGAAAGAATTCATTCAAGTGATATTTAGGGTTCTTAAATGTTTTAATTATAGAATAAAATAGTTACAGAAAGCTATAAAAGCCTTGTTACATCCTATGAATTCTTAAAAAGCAAATACCCTGGTGAACAACTGGAAGATCCCTCAGAAGAGCCACTATATGTCCCAGCACAATCACAGCTCCTTCCCTCCTCTTGAAGGAACACTATGAAATCCTCCACTTCCTGGTTGTGCTTTAGGGATTATCACCTACTTGCACAGTCTTGCTGACTCTTCAGTGTGCATCAAAGTCACAGGTTAATCTCTACGTCCTTTGCACTCCTTTCCCTTCCAATTTATCTGCTGAAAGGCTGAGTCTGCACTGGGCTGAGTGAACACTCATGGACCCCTGTGCACTAGTGCCAGCACCCCCGCTCATGTTCTACAGGTCTCAGTTTCCTCTGTCCAGAGGCACTGCGTCAAGCTTCTGCTCTGCTCTGACACTGGAGCCACTAAGGCTCAAGGTCCAGACTCACGGCTGTACTAGAGGATGAAGAGGCTGATGGCCTATCCTTCCTTTTTACAATTTCAGCTGGACTAAAACTCAAGAGGCTTCTGCCCTTTGGATTGGGTTGGTCATCTAAGAGAACAACTCCTGTAAGAAAAGGCTGGCTCCTCATTATTCTTCACCTACAATATTTCAAGACAATGAGGTAGCACTCTATCACCACATGGTGCCTATGAAGGAGGGAAGCAGAAGAGCTGCAGTAATGGCAAGTTTCAATGCAATGCAATTATTGTTATTAAAGAATCTGGAATTACCCACAATTGGCCAACAGCTCTGCCTCTTCATTTTGGCATTTTGGTCCTAATAACATAAACCTAGTAGACTGACAGTTTCCTTCCAATGTGGTATTCCAAGATGCTTACTGCTAATAGACTAGGCACTGTTTACAGGTCTTTCCAGTGAACAAGAGAAAACGTTTATGTGTACACATACTGTGTATCATGAGTTCAGAATGATTTGCTAATTCAAAGTCAACCACATGGTATTTCTTTAACCTGCTCTCCCCACACCGTCAGTTGCATCTCCTTTCTACATTTAGATTCCTAATTTTCAAGGATGCAGAAAACACAATCTAGCAGGTCTTGTGACTACAGGTGGTCTCTTTGCATCTGCATGTATTTTGGGTTGTACAATAATAACTGATACTCTCATTCTGTGGTTAATGCTGTCTGTGGGTTGCTGGCTGTATGTGGTAGCTCAGTCTCTCCTCTGTGTATATAAGCATGTCTTTTTTATATTAAAGAACACCATTATTAAATTATAATGGCCACAGAATAACTTTCACATTTAAAGTGTACAAGTTGATGTTTCATGTTATAGTCACATATTCGAGAGAGTGATGCATCCTAAAAAAAAGGAATTGTTAGGAGATTCTGTCATTGTGTATACTTCCCTAGATGGGAAATAAACTGATGGGGCCTCTTAATGTACCAGCCAGTAAGTAATGCACAAAACGCCAGTGTAACATAGCATAGTTTTATTGTAAACTTTTTCTTTTTTTAAGTAGCAGTACTTCCTCAAATAATAATAAAAAGTATAATAATAATAATACATAACTGAGTAACATTCACTTATTATCATCAAGTTTTACATATTACACATAATTTATGTGCTGTATTTTTATGTAATTGTATGCAAAATAGGTTTGGTTATACGAGCCTCACCCCAAAATTGTGCATACTGCATTGTCCCATTACAGTAGGACACCTATGACACAACTTGGCAAAAGAGTATTTCAGCTGAATTAAAATCTCATAGGGTTAGCTTACACTCCTATATGTGGCTCTGCGGCTGATTGTGATGTCATCATATGATGCATAACTCCATATACAAGTCTGTGAAATTACAATCACCAATGAGACATACCCATGATGGACAAAGTGTCCTAGTGCCCTCTTGTGATAATTTCTCCTCCTGCCCTTCCTCCACTGGTCATAGACACTGGTGACGGCCCATGTGGTATCACCATTTCTATCTCTGCTATGGCAGGGATTTATCAAGATCCAACAACAACGCTGGCATAGTCATGTTCTAGGGTGTCAAAGCTTCATTTAATAACACACAATAATGGGATTTAATTTCTAAGAAAAAAACCAGATAAATTATGAATAGCATTCAATTACATATTATTAGCATAATATTAATACTGTTACAAAACTGTCATGCAGATATAGCTGCACAGTAAATAAGCACAGGCTACACTTCTTAGAGCAGTTAACATGAGGCTGTAAAAATGACTGTTCAAGCTAGATCTATGAGACACAATCAGTGGGAAAATGACAATTGTTCTGTGACTGTTAAAAAACTTACACTGAAATTCTCCTCCTGTCAGTTTTAAATGTATTGGGAAATGAAGTAAAACAAAGATTCACTGAGTACATGGTTACTTAGAACAGTAGAAACGATGAGAACAAAAGTGATTTGTTTCTTCTTGAGTGCTACAGAAGCTGGGCGTGGCGGCGCATGCCTATAATCCCAGCACTCAGGGGGCTGAGGCAGGAAGATCTTTGCAAGTTCAAGACCAGCCTGGGCTACAAAGTGAGCTCAGGGTCAGCCTGACCTGTATAGCGAGACCCTGTCTCAAAAAGGCCAAAAAAAAAAAAAAAAAAGCTACAGAAGTAGTTTCAATACTTCTTGCTGCCTACTTCTTGTCACACAACTCCAATTAGGAGGGAGAGACTTTCTAAGCTTTGGCACTGTCATGCTCTGCACAAAGTTGGAATTAGCTTAAAACATCCATTGAGGAACTTCCAGTGTTGTGAAACACCCAAGAGAGTGTCTTTAAGATGAAGATTTTTATTAGCATCACTTCCTTCAAGACATCTTCATCAATATGCTATGTTCTCCTTATTTATGTCAAGAAGCTCATTGTCACTATGATGGTTAAAGTGGATTATCATCTTGATTGGCTTAGCAGCAGCATGGGAGAGTAAAGGCAACTTATGGGTGTCTCCGGGTGGGTCAAGGGTGTATGACCTTGTGGTCTATATGTGGTCCCATGCTCTGCTTCCCAGCCACCATGTACAAAGCAGATCTGCTCCACTATACCCTTCCACTATGATTTTTGAGGTCAGCCAACCGTGTACTAAAGCCCCTGAAACTACATGACAAATTAAACCCCTAAGTTGTGGGTGTCAGGTTTTGTGTCCCAGCAATAGGAAAGCTGACTAACAGTCACTGAATTCTTCCCCCTGCAAACCAACAGTCCTTTAGAAAAGCACTGATGCAGACATGCCCCGCTCCCTGGTACCAGGAATCGAACTCATGACCTGCGCTTGCCAGGCAGGCGCTGTGCCGCTGAGCTAAATCCCCAACCCCCAAGTATGAATATCATGTGGAGATGTTCATGCTTTTGGTGAGTCTGTCATATTTGTTAAATGATCTGCCTTTATTTTTTTGTTTGTTTGTTTTCCGGTAATGGGAATCGAACTCACGACCTTGCGCTTGCCAGGCAGGTGCTGTGCTGCTGAGCTAAATCCCCGGCCCCCTGATGCAGACATTCTTATGGCCACCTATTTCTTCTACAACTCTATGTACTCCCAACTAGCTTTCCACAGAGTTCTGCAATTATTCACACCCAACATTCACTGTCAGTTCTTGCCACTGTGCTGGAACATTTTCAACTATTTCCTTTCTGACCCACTTCAAAAACTCAAATAATAAGGTAATTACCATCTAATGTGACAAAAACAGGTTCTGGAGACCATATAAGATAACAGGCTTTAGAAGTTAAAATAATGCCTTGATTCACCAGATAAGAGTGATAGAATTGTGTTTGGGGGTAAAAGGGAAACTGACTTTGACAAGGGGCAATATAACTACATGCTTTGCTGCCCATGTGTGATTCGCATACAAATATGCAGGCACCCTGAAAGACTCAGAAAGTGGTTGTTCTCAATTTTCACATGGCACCTAGGCTGTCTGCACAGTGATCTGTGGACTGAAGAGCCACACACAAAACTTCTTCTTCACACAATTACCAGTTACTAATGTCATGGTGATTAAAACTTGCAATGTGTTGCTGAGGAACTGGTGGTATTTCTCTTTCTTAAGTAAAATTCACAGATAATGGAAATGTGCAAAGGAAAGCTCTCGACATAAGACATAAAAAACAAACTAAAGATGCAGAAACTGTAATCTTAAATTTGAATGGGAAATGTAAGTATACCTTTGAAAAATTAACTCCTTCCAAAAAAAGAAATCAAGCTGTGTCCAAAGAAAAGGACTAGAAGGAATCTGAGTACTCTAACTTGAAAGGAAGACCAGTAGCCTCAAACAAGGCATGTTTCCATTCCAAAGGGCAAGTGCCAAAGGTCACAGAGCAAACATAGAGACTGCAATTGGAGAAAAACAGGACAGTCTGACTAGGAAAATCAATAATGTGCTATGTAGCATCAAATGTATTAAAATATAAAGGTTCATCCTTCTACACTGTTGATGAGAATGTAAACTAGTACAATAACTATGGAAATCAATATGGAGAGTCCTCAAAAAAACTGAAACTAGAAATTGCATCTCACCCAGTTATTTCCCTTTTACGTATCTTCCTGAGTTAAAAACATCATATTACAGTGATATATATATACCCATGTTTATAGGAGTACAACTTATAATAGCTAAATCTTGGAAACAGCCTATATGTCCATCGACAAATGAATGGATAAAGAAAATATGGCATTTATATACAATGAAGTACTACTCTGCCTTAAAGAAGGACAAGCTTAAGTCATATGTAGGAAAATGGATGCACCTTGAGACCATAATGTTAAGTAAAATAAATCAGAAATATAAGATTAAATATCACGTGGTTTCTCTACTATGAGAAACCCAAAACATAAGAGAGCAAAATAAAAGATTATAGAAAGTAGGGAGATAGATCTTTTGCAAATGGGAAGGGGACCAAGAAATGGGGTGGGGGTAGGGAAGGAAAAAAGAACTGAGATGTATTACATTCCTGTACCAACCCCCCACAAAGAATGTGATCATTATATACTATAAACACATACTAATAAAAAAAATTGAAAAAAATTTTAAGTGTATGAGTTCAAACATTTACTTTGAAATAGTCTTTACCTTTATTAAGAACCTAACCTAAGCTAACATATACTTTTGTTCTTGTTGCTATTGGAAACTGTCCAACTGACAAATTATAACTGTACATATTTATGGGATATAAAATGGTGTTATCAATTACAAATACAGGGTGAAATAATTAAGTCAAGCTAGTTGCATGTGGTAACACACGGCTATAATCCCAAGACTTAGGAGGCTGAGGCAGAAGGATCACTGTGAGTTTGAGGTCAGCGTGGGCTACATAGTGAGACACTGTCACAAAAAAGCAAAACAAAACAAAACAACAAAAAAAAAATTAAGCCAAGTTAATTAACATATCTATCACTTCAAATACTTGTCATTTTAGGATAACAACATTTCAAGTGTGCTCTTAGCAATTCTGAATTATAGAATACACTTTTATTACACAGATAGATAGATAGATAGACAGATAAATCTTTAAAAAATAGAGGAGTCGGGGATATAGCTCAGCAGCACAAGCGCCTGTCTGGCAAGCACAAGGTCCTGAATTTGATTCCCAGTACCAAAACAAACAAACAAACAAACAAACAAACCAAAAATAATAAATAGAAAAGAATGTTCCTCTCCTGTCTAAGACTCTGTACCCTTGACCAACACCTCCCCACTGCTTACCCCAATCCTCTGATAACCCCTCTACCTCTGTGTAGCAGATTGATAACTGGTGGTC